ATTTATTTTTTCTTAATTCATTCACTTCAAAACTAATCGATCTTACTTGTATTTGTATTTCTAACATGTAAAAACATATTAGAAATACAAATACAAGTAAGATAAGATGCAGCCCCGGTTTGGCTAAAATTAACTAAATTTACCCAAACTTCGTCATGAATGTACGTATATCGTTTATTAAAAGCTGATGAAAGGTTTCAACGTGTGCAAAACTTTTAATAAAAATAATTAAAGCGAAAAAAAATTACTGACTTTAAATCTCGACTCACGATGCCCGTTGAAGGCTGGACGGAATTTATTACGTAGTATTAATCTTACGTAAAAATCAATTAATGAAATCGATTTCCGAGAGATATGACATCGCGACGACACCGTAACTAAGCCGAATATACACACGGGGCTTCATAAATTAAAATGTTTCGGTGTTTTAATTTATTTTCGGATAACGAAATATAAGCTTCTGTCGATATCGCGACCGTCAATGGTTTAAGTTTCGTGCTAATTGTAAATTTTACACCTAGATCTTACTGTGGCGGAAAAACATTAACAAACAACCGTTTGGTCGTAGACCTCTTAGAAAAGCGTCGTCAAGGAGACCTCTTGTGAGCTAGGACTGACTCTTGCACACTTGCAGCCACTCTAGTTTCGTGGACGCCCGTCCAATAATGATTACACGCTATATAAATTTAACACTGGAAACGGGGATTTTTCCTGATGACCTAAAAAAGACACAAATAAAGCCAATACACAAAAAAGGCTCTAAATACGAAATCAGTAATTATAGACCTATTGCGTTATTACCTAATTTTACTAAAATATTTGAAAAAGTTATTATAAAAAGGTTTATGTCATTTTTAAATGCAAATAATGTATTATCGAAAAATCAGTTCGGTTTTCAAAAGTCGAAAAACACTTCGGCAATATTTAAAATATTGCAGCAAATATGGAAAGATATTGATAAGAAAAAAACATCTATTGGACTATTTTTAGACCTGTCCAAAGCATTCGACTGTGTTGTACACAACATTTTATTTAAGCAACTAGAACATATTGGAATTCGTGGAAATGCGTTAAAACTAATTGAATCCTATCTTACAAACAGACTTCAAACTACAGTCTTAGACACATATGATAAGGCGTCAAAAATGATTGTAAAAGTTCAATCAAGCTACGAGAAAATAAAACTGGGTATTCCTCAAGGTAGTGTATTGGGACCATTATTGTTCTTGATATATATAAATGAATTTCCTTTAATTATTAACCATCTATGTGTAATGTTTGCTGACCATGCTACGATATTTATATCTAAAGACAATCTGAATGACTCTGAATTTATTAATGAAATTTATAACACTCTTAAAACTGTAGTTGACTGGTTGACATGTATTAATTTAAAAGTTTAAGTAAGACATGAATTATACAATTTACTAACTATAAACAACTACCGCAAGACGTAAACATTATTATTGACAATAACAGCATTGAGCAAGTCAATCAAATAAATTTTCTAGGTGTTAGCATTGATAGGCACTTAAACTGGAAGTCTCACATCGAAAAAATTAATAAAACAATTACTAGTGGATATTATGCTATCTCTGTTATGAGGAATGTAAGCTCTGCAGATGTTGCTAAAAATACTTATTATGGATATGTTTACCCACTATTGACTTACGGTATTATATTTTAGGGAAACTCAGTAAATGTAAATTCCACATTCTTGTTACAAAAAAGTGTATAAGGGCAATATACAATGTAAATGGTAAGGACTCTGTAAGGCCTATTTTTATCAATAATAAGATCTTAACCCTGACATGTATTTACATACTAGATATCTGTTTATTTATCAAAAATCATTCTGAATACTATATTAAGAAAATAGACACAAAACTAAATCTTCGATCGCAATATAAATATGACATATGTACTGTGCCTTGCTCGAGTTATATATATCAAAAAAGCTCCTACATTACTGGTATTAAGATTTATAATTATTTACCCGAATCAATAAGATCACTTCATGGTGTACAGTTTAAAACAAAACTAAAAGAATGGCTGATATGTAATTGTTTTTATAATTTAAATGAATATTATTGTAGAACCAAATAATACTTTAATTATATTATTAACATTTCTCTTATTGTACGCCCGAAATGGGCAAACTGTTGACACAAAAAATAATGTAATATGTAACACCTATTGTACACAGTTAAGACAATAAATGATTATCTTATCTTATCTTATCTATGTAAATGTTGATGTCAAATCTGCAGCTCCTTGCGATCTGAATCTTCATACTTAACATGACGACTATCCAGCCGGTTTTATCAACGGCATAATCCGACACGGAAATCTAACAGTGTCGTAATGAAAAATTTTTTTTTTGTAAGTGAAAAGTTGCGAAGCGAGCAGACGGTTCACCTGATGTTAAGTGAATCTGAATGCCACCGCCCATGGACATCTGCTACACGTGATGGTTGCAGATGCGTTGACAACCTTTTGAAAATTGGGCTCCGGCCACCTCACTCACCAGACGAAACGCGAAAGTATTATACTTCCACTTTAAGCCAGTCTTCTGTGCGGACGAGCCGGCCCATACGTGCACGGCCGAGGGTACCGCGTGGCCCTACCACCGTTTACTTACTTTGAGAAAGCTCGCGTCCTATAATTCGCTTGGACAGCTATAACACCTGAGGGCTTGCAGATACGTTGACAACCTTTAAAATAGGTCCCGTATAATAATTCTACTTCAAAATGGTCTTCTGTCATGCCGTGGAACTTCCCGCCAGCTCATTAGTGCAACAGTAGAATCTGATGCGTTGACACACTACCACAGTTGAAATATCGATTCCAGTTTTTTCGAAAACGATAAAGTGATTCTTTCGTAAACACCATCAATATTTCAATTCGATGAAATTTATATGCACATGAACGGATTCAAAACGTATCGGCATCAAAACCGACGACGCCCGCGCGGGAGGCCTTTAATATTACGCCATGACATTGCATTATAAAAACTGATTACTTAAAGACAGCTTTGCACATCTCAAGTGGGAGCTGTTGTCAATTTGAGTCGCCTTTTCACACACGATTTTAATAATGACTGTTGGCGTAGTTCGATATGATATAGTTAGTATAAGCTACGGATTTTTGTTCCGAATATGAATTTTTGCCCTTGTTCAATTTGTCTTTGTATACTCTATCTTTATCCTTTATAAAAATAAGTTTATAAAAAACAAGAAAAAACAGATATAAGGTGATTAATTTATATAAATAAAAGGATAGACCTCTATCGTCGTGCGCGCATCATGGAAAAATTATTGGATGGTTTTCAATCAATTCTCGTAAGTTCAATTTCTTAGACACTTGGCCTTTATCTAAAAAAAAGAATACTGTGTTATAATATTCTTTTACTGTAAACTTATCAAAGTTTTGAGAAAGAGCGATTTTTGTAAGCATTACGTGTTCAGTTCTGTGTGTTTTGTTGCCGTGGAGAAGTGGAGCAAGCGGTATAGTTGTTAAGATAATAACCAACGCAGTAGAAGTCGCGTTTATTGGCTAGTTTTAACGAAACCCAAATTGTACTATTGTAATTTAAGAAGTGTTTCATTTCACTTAAAAAAACATTAATCTTAGCTCGTGGTCTGAAACGAAAACCTTCTAAGAAGCCAAACTTTGAATCTATCCGTAATAATGAAGGCATGCAATTCGTCAACTATTTTTTTCGTAAAACATTGCGACGCGTGTCGTAACAACCTGCCTAACCGTAACCAACCGTTACGGAGAAAAAGGTGTGAGAATACACACGCTTAATTGCCACTAATGAGTCGCCCCACCATGCAAATAAGCCAGGAATCCCACGGAGAATGCTGCGGGTACCTCGATATGGTTACCAACGAACGATCTGAAGTAATTCATTTTCTAATCTAATACGATTACAGCCAAAGGTCAGTTGTGCGCAAGCAATTTCCGGGAATGTCCGACTTAATGAATGTAGTACCGATTATTTACATTAACCCGTGGCTTAACTTGTAATGACTTATATAAGTAATTGGTATGATTCTATTCCGCTGTATTCACGTTTTGATCCATAATCTATATCCAGGATTTACTAGCTAAAGTTGACATAAAAGCTTTAAACGGGTTTCCAATGGAAACTTTTTTGTAGGCAAATAGCTATTTTTGTTATTTAGATAATCAGTTTACAGTTTATTATGGGGAAAATGTCCTAAAAATAGTACTGACGTGTGGAAATTATCGTGATACTACCCATACTATTGGATTATTTTTAATGCAGAGCCCGCGCAGAATGATGACTGCGCAAAAAAACTAAAAGAAAATCCTTTATATAGAACACTGCAACGCATAGCGAACATTTGATTACACATAAGCACGTTTAATTTCTTAATTAAGAGTCATTAAACGTTATGCAAAACTATCTGCCATTAGTAAGAGAACAGTGACTGTCTTACCACCTTGACATCCTTGCAAGAGATCACCGATTCCTCCCAAAGATGATTCGCGAGGCTATTGAGATAATAATAATTAAAATGAAAAAAAAATAATTTAAAAAAATACGGTAATCCGGGTTAACTGTGATATATAGACGTCCAACTTCTAAGTCTGTCCCATGATTATGAACGCTGTAAAGGGTTTGAAACGTCGGGGATTAAAATTAAAAATAAACTCGATAAATCCGTTAGTTAAAAAAATGATTTCATTCAATCATCATTAAAAGGATAACAATTGTAATGATTCATATGACATAATTCCGGTCGGGCTTATCTCCTAAAAATTAAATAAACACCAAACTGTATAATAAAATAAGTAATTCAAGAAAGTATAACAAAGTGAAGCAAGTGCGTCGATTGTGCAATTACTACACAAAACCGCCGTCCTCTTGAACAGTAACGGTAACTCTACCATTACTGCTCGAGCTTTAAATCGAGCAAAACCTAATGTTAATTAAATCGATATAATAAAGGCGACGCGAAGCCCCTTCACGCGGGAGCAGTAATCACGTCGTACGCCCGCGTTAACGCAAAAACATCGCAAATTGAAAGCGCCCAGTATATTATCAAGCAAATGACCGATACAGTTTGTGAAGTGAGGGGCCACGTGGGCAGCGTTGTGAGCGTGCGCATTAAGCGATTACTGGTTTCGGTCTCGTTGGCCCTGGTCTCGCTGGTCTCTGAACTCGTCAGCATTGACCCCAGCCCTGGTCTGGAGACATTATTTCCCAAATTATTTCCTATTGATTTCTGTTAATATTTAATGTAATCATGTTTGTACAAGTCATGATAACTCAAGCCAAACCAAAATGCATTTACGGTAATAGGTGAAAATTATATTTATGTTCAATGCTTTATTTCAAACTATAAAAGAATTAGAAATGGTGGACAAAGCCTGGCAGTTTTACCACTGGTCTCGTCGAGAATCTCGTCGTCGTCTCGTATATGAAGGTTTTGTGGTATTTTAACTATTATATCTCTATACTCTCTTCATTAAGATCATCGACAAAGAAAATGGGTATTATCGTACGAGTATTAAAAACGTGGTCTGCTTGCACCAGATTCATTTACCTCGAGTACATCACTAGTTGCGGGCGAAACACGCTCGTGAAGGATAATCAATCAAAAGTCGTGTATTGAATTTAATAGAGGTGACTTTAAATTATTTAATACGCGCAGTCGGGCATTACGGCGAGGCGTAGAGGACAGTGCACGGAATGAGTCGAGGGTCGACAGCGAAGTATAAATCAAAACCGGAGACATTGTCGCAAAATAAATGTTCGGTTCCAATGATAAAATTGGGTGTCCTCAATGCGAGCGTGTGCAGACTTATGGCTTCGACCACCTGCAATTACATCACCGGTTATCAGATGAGAGATTATATTCTGAAGACTGGGACTACATGAAAGTATTTGTAAGCATTAAACGTGTCAAGTACGTACTAACACAAGAAGTCAACAGCATAAAACTATCATATGACTGAGACACCGGGACCTTCACTTGAGATGTAACTTTAATAATTGGACTAACTTTGAAAAGAACAAATCTAAAAAATATACGATAATTTTTACATATGTATAGGTGTTTCTATTTTTTATTCGTAACATTTGTATAGATTTTTCTCCAGGAACCTGTCTTTTAAATTACCTAGCCAATAATATCCAGGTCTACGAAATGTGTATACATAATTGTTCAAAGAACGCGAAAGAATACTGGACATAGAAAGAATATAGCCCATATTAGAATTATTTTATGCTATCTTTTTATTTTTTAACCTAAATACATGCAAACTAACGACTTGATACCTAGATCCCGCTGTCAATGAAGGGAAACATTACAGGGGCTACCACGGTGAAATCCTCACCGCGTCTTAGATCCAGAGTTCCGAACATCAGGTAATGCTTGATCTTGTGAATAAAATAAAGCTGAATCAAAGTTAAAAAAATGAGGCACATGTTAAAATTTATATGTGCTAGTTATTTTTCCAAATTACTTAATTACGAACATATATTTTTATTTGTTGAACAAAAATTTAAAGCCAGTGGTCTGCCCGCTTTTCTACTAACAGTGTAATGAGTTACTTGGCAGATGGCTGAATCAACGGATGCTTGACAGCGAGTTTTGGATTCTATTCTCACAGGTCAAATGCGCATCGCATATATTAAATTAAGGTTGACTGGTAGAAAATGGCTTTGACATTAAGTCCGCCTTTGTACTAGATTGTGGATAAAGTGTAAATAAATAAATAAATAAAATAAATAAATGACTGTATTTCCTTATAATATAATTGTTTCATTGGCATTGTTAGTGTTCATTGGCCTATATTTTGTTTTTTTTAATTTATCAAGTCAATGTAAAAGCTTGGACATTAGATAATACAATAAACAAGTGTGTAATTATAAAAAGTATAAATAAAGAGATAAATGGTTTGAATGATATCACAAAACTAAGCGCAACTCAAACTTTATTCTGAATCGAACTCAATACACTCGTGAGCGGTGACGCGATCAATCAACATAAAGTTTCTAACAAAATAACTTAAGAATAACTGAATTAACTGGGAAGCGATTACGAGGACATTAAATCACCTTATTTGTAGAAACCTAATATCCGTTGTCATCAAAAAGTGATCCAATTAAAATAATCACGAGATCATTATTAACTTTTATAACATTTCGTGAGATATTAACGCCCACGTATTTCTCCATATTTGACGACAGGATATAGTACAAGTACAAAGATAGTGTCTTACTCTTGACGGAGCGGACAGATACTTGTTGCTATACTTTACGCTCTAGGCTCTAACATTTTATATGCGCCCATGCGTATTACCCGGATGACGCTGGTTCGAATCCTTACTTATACACGCTTTGTACACGCCTTACGAACGCCGTATACACGCTGTTCAAAGAGCACACAAGTTATAATCACCAACGAAGGATCTGAGTTCCACTGTGGTAGGGCACCGCAACAGTCTTCGCTGTTGCACGAATGGGCAGGTCTGTCCGGGTGAGTACCACGACCACACAGAAGGCCGGCGTAAATCAGAAGCGTTCCAGTTCTGCGTTTCGCCTGGGGAGTGATTTAGACGGGGCCCACTACAAATACCTACTAAGATGGCAACCCATCTGCAACCCTACGGGTGTTGCAAATATCAATGGGCGGGGATTATCACTTGGCATCTGGCGAGCCGCCTGCTCGCTTGACACCTACTCATATTATAAAAATCTTGCTCGTCGTCGACAACGATACAGTTATATAATTGTTTAACGACGTTTTAACAGAACTGATCAGAATAACAGATTTAACAGAACGCTAAAAAAACCAAAACTTTCGCTTATGAGGCTAACAGTCAAGGCTAAAGCACTTCGCAGATAACCGGGCTGTCATGATGAAAAATTCATGACTTTAATTCATTGGTAACACCTTTTAGACATTTGGGCTGCGCTCAGGATCTCGACGGAGCCAATATTTCATTTCACTCGAATTATTACCTAAAACAAGAGTCATTTGCAAATTGCAAGCGACGTATTATTAAAACGTCGCTTGCGTCGCTAGCGCGAATGCCGAAGACGTGGTTTCGATTCCCACAGCTGCGACAATCTTTTCGTACTTTATCTACATATTTTAATATAATTAATCTTTTAATAAATAGACGGATTTTGGTTACAATGAATAGCAGATAGACAATTTTTAAAGTAATGTGTAGTTTATGAACACACCTGATGTGAACCGCCCACGGACATCAACAACACCTATCGCGTTGGAGATGCGTTGCCAACATTAAAAAAAATGAACCCCGGCAGTCAAGTTGCCAACATTAAAAAATGAGCCCCGGCTATCTCACTCACCAGGCAAAACGCGAAAGAATAACACTTCCACTACATGATACTGTGAGGCCGTGGTACTTATAGGACGAGCCTGCCCATTCGTGCAACAGCCGAAGCAGCTACGGGGTCCTACCAGATAGATAAGTAAAGTATCAGCCTATACATGTTCCACTGCTGGGCAAACGCCTCCTCTGTACAGAGGGTATCAGGGCATAGTCCACCACCCGGCCCCACTGCGGATTGGCAGACTTCACATATTCATCGAAACATTTTTTTTGTTATTATTTCAAAAATATGCAGGTTTCCTCACGATGTTTTCCTTCACCGCTAAGCATGTGATAATTCAGCACTTAAATAAAAAATTTCATTGATGCTGGCTCCAGGGATCGAACTCAGGTTGCTCGAATACATTGAATTAAAGGCAAGCGCCCAACCCTCCAAATTAAAACCCTTCTCTTGCCTCCTCTTCATCTAAACTCTTAAGGATATATGCTCGTCGATTGCGTGTGCTTTTACGCTGTTCTAAAACTGTTATGTCTCTGGTCGTACTTTCACATTAATTTTTACCAATTTTATATCAACTATTTTTACTACTATTTTATAGACTTTGAATACTTGACAAAAATAGCAGGAATTCTTAAAATAACCAGGTAAAATCACATTTAATAATTTGTACTTTTCGCCTTTTTGTTTTTCGAATAGTCTGTAATGCTAAACACCAAACAGAGGTGTGATGTATTGCAGTTACGTTATCACACGTGATCTTAAAATCTCGATACCCCCGCGAAACATCAATACTTGCAAATGTAGTCTCGGGGTCAGATGCATAACTCTCGCTACCTCGGAACGCCGTGGCGCATGTAAATAAGGGAATATTTCAAACTATCGCAAAGCTTACTAGAGTGCTCGGTCGCTTCTTCATAGCTGTGATAAAGCCGCGTTATACTCCTAACCCCTCACTCCTTTTTAAATACAATTATCTATTAACTCTGAAGTTTAAGCTTGTACTAAATTCATATGAATTACTGTTAAAAAATATTGGTGTTCTTACAAATGAACTAATATAATCAATTACAACACCAGAAATCATCCTTATAAATGTAACTTAGGTGTTTATTAATTTCACTATTGAATTAGGGAAGAATGAAATGAAATAACAAACAACTACATAAAGGTACAATTGGGGGCCTTATCGCTTAAAAGCTATTTCTTCCAAGCAACCATGTTACTGAGGATACAATGATCAGTGAGAAGGGTTTGAGGTATACGCTATATATATATACAATATAAAGAGAAGGCAGCGATAAGTGAACAAAGGCCATTTAACGGAAATTTATTTTTAAATGAATTATGAGTAAAATAAAAGAAAAAATCATAATATAGAGATAAAATGTTTAGGGATGAAAAAAGTGAGCTTTAACGAGTCTTTTAAATATTGCCAGTGATTGCGAAAGAATGCCTTGCTTTACATTTGAGCTAAATTCAAGTGATCCATATAGATGGAGACTTATCTCCACCATTCTATAATACTACAATGATTGGCGGCGCTAGCTCCACGTAAACAGTCATCTCTGTAACTAATAATCAATAAAAATAGTTACTTTCGAAAATTAGAAGAAATTTTGCGATTAACGTGTGTGTTGTGCTACAATTATTTAGCGAAAACGTTATCTTCAATAACTTCCACGTTAAATGTGAGAAAAAGTTTGTTGAAAAAGTTTTACTCAGTGCAGTGAAAAGTGTATTGTTATTTTAAAAGATTCAACCACTAAGATATATTATCCTTTTATGAATAAAATATCGTACATCATTCAGTGTTAAAGTGGAAAACTGTGTTTTTATCAACAAATATATTTTCACTGTGGCTATATAAGCCGTTGAAAGTTCAAACTTTTGCAATCAATTACGCTACCTACTAATAGAGGGTGCTGTACATGTACGATTTACCGCCATCTAGTAGGCAATAGAACAATCAAAAAATCAATTATATCAGCGACAGAGGGCAGTACTCGAGAATAAAAACAATGTCGAAATCCTCACCAAGAAATTGTGCGGGATGTGCAAAACTACTTTCAAAAAATGAATATTTGCAGTGTTCTGTCTGTAAATCGTCATACGACTTGGAATGCTTGAATATGACCAGCAGACGTTTTAATTCATTTTACGCGTCAAATAACACCAATAAATCTGCATGGAAATGCCCTGCATGTCTGAGTAAGCAGCCTAAAAAAGGAAACGTAAATAACACCGATACGGCAGACTGTACTCTGCAATGATGAAACCTCTGATTGTTATCCCCAAACTCCATGCATTAGCACTCAAAACGTGACCCAACGTTCGGCATTAAATAAAGAATGTACTTATGATGAACTGACTTTGGGAGAAGCGAGCGAGGCTGCCTCGTCTGAGATTGCGCTATTTATGAGTGAAATACGAGCCGCAAGGGAGGAAATGAACACGTTCCGTGCAACCTTATCAGACCTCGTTGCTACAATCAAAGCACAAAATACGCGATTAGACAGCCTGGAGACAAGAATAGATTCTCTTGAAGAAAAAGTGAAAGAATCTAAAACCCAGGACTTTCAAGCGATGCAGGATACTATTTTGCGGCTACAACTTGAGATACAGGAACGTGATCAAGAAGCCCTGGCGAATGATATAGAGATTTCAAATCTCCCTGAATCGACAAATGAGAATGCCATCCACATCCTTCTCACTGTAGCGAAAAAACTAGGAGTAGATCTGGACGAGCGGGACGTGGTGCATGTGGAGCGTGCGGGACCAGTGCACGCACACTTAGAGGGCAAAACGTCGCCACGCCCGCGTGCGCTGGTCGCCCGCTTATCTAGACGCGCACTGCGGGATTCACTGCTGCGGGCAGCACGCGTTCGCCGTGGTCTTACAACGGAGGGAATTACTTCTATAGGTGTCGCTCGCCCCCTCTATATAAATGAGCGCCTTACGAAATTTAATCGGCAATTGTTCTGGAAGGTACGAGAAATTACAAATAATCGAAACTGGAAGTATGTCTGGACGAGAGAAGGCAGAATATATGTAAGACGGGAGCAAGGTACGGCACGCTATAGACTTCGCTCGGACTCTGACATAGCTAAGGTTTTTGGTGCTCACGTTGTTAGCACTGACTCTTAATTTATTTAATTTTATCTTTTATATATATCAGTGCAATTTTATGGTTAAAAATTCCTTAAAAACTGTTTTCACTAAAACTTCCTCAAATTATTGTTTGCAATGTTTTTTAATTATTTATAGGCAGCTTCACGGTATTATACATAAAACCTCATTTAAACATATCTGTTACCGATTTCACTTTGATTCTGTTTTAATGCATTTAACTAATATAAGTTTCTTTTTGTTTCATAACTTTTTGTCCATGTACCTTTCAACAAGATTCCCAGTGTTTGATCTTTTTAATAATTGCTATATATATAGGCTACTAATTCTACAACAGTTGACTAATATTACTTTATTTTACCTTTTTAATGCTTATCCTATAACAAATGCAAAATATATCAATAAGAGCTGTGTTTATTATTGTGTTTGTTATTTAATACCTTTTGTGTCTATGATATTGTTATATTTCAATTGTGTTACTTATAACATGACTATATTCCGTTACTGTTTAGAGAATAAAATGTATCAGGCACCGTTAAACGTTTATACTTCTGTTAGAGACAACTTTAATGTAGATCAACGACATCTGTTTTTGCTAAAAAAGTATCTTATGTGTTGCAAGTATATACAACTATCATACAGTTTTGTGATACGGTTTGTTAAATTTAAAAATCTAACATTTGGTTTTATAAATCCGGGTTCCCTTTGTAATTGTCACGAAGAGTTTTTAATTGTCATGGAGCGGCACGGGGCGGACGTTGTAGCCATCAACGAGACCTGGCTGCGGGAGGGCGAAGAGAGGCGCGCTCCTGTTCCTCCTGGATATCGACTGCGGCACGTGCCACGTCCTCCTGGCATACGTTCACGCGGTGGTGGCGTTGGATTTTACCTTAAGCGCGGAATATACGCGCGCCAACTTGTACCCCCACCTTCAGCCTTAGTCGAGCAAATGTGGCTCAGTATTACTTTAAATGGAAATAAGCTTGCTGTTGGTACTGCTTATCGGCCACCGTGGTTAAACTTAGACACTTTCATCGATAGTCTAACAGAAACACTGAGCTCTTTCTCGTCACATGATCATGTGGTGTTAATGGGCGACTTTAATGTCAATCTGCTAAAACCCTATGAAAGTAATGCCAAAAAAATCTTAGATTTTCTTCGTAGCATGAGTCTAAAACAGTACGTTACCGAGCCAACTCACTTTACTGATCACTCCGAAACTATGTTGGACTTAATTTGCAGTAGCATTAAGGTTACAAAGGTCTCAGTTAATTTAGTCCAAGACCTTAGCAGTCATGCGTTTATTTCGTTTGAACTTAATATAAAGAAACCAAAACCAACACGTCGTTGGCTAACATACAGACCGATTAAGGACATTAATTTGCAAAATTTTAATAATGACGTAAACAGTATACCATGGGAGAGACTACTCAGCGAAGACGTTAATGATTCTCTTGCAGCTTTCAACTCATGTCTTAACAAACTTTTTGACATTCATGCACCCGTAAAAACATCATATATTAAAGAGCAAAGCTACCCGTGGATTACAGAAACCGTAAAAGATATGGTGAGATTGAGAGATGAAGCACATGCTAAAAGTCGTCGCACGAAATTGGATTGTCATAAAAAATACTATAAAGATTTGAGAAGCATAGTAAGAATAGCCATCCGTAACGAAAAAACCGCATACTTCCAACATTTTATAAACCGTAATATAAAAGATTCACGAGCCCTATGGAGAAATTTAAAAAAAACTGTTGTTGATTTTAAAAAGAAACAAACAGACTTACCGGAAAATTTATGTAATCCTGACCTTATTAACAACTATTTTCTTAATATTCCTGGTACGACTGATAGCAATCCATCTGTATTATCACGATTTTATTCAAATCGTTTCAACAACTCGGTTTTTAGCTTGAGACCAGTCGACGAGGAAACTGTTTTTAAAATTATTAAAAATATTACGACAAACGCTCAGGGTGTAGATGGTATATCACTGAATATGATTCTTTTAACTCTACCTCGAACAATAAGTATATTGACTTCTATACTTAATTTGTCGATTAGAACTGGTAAATTCCCGGACTTATGGAAAGAAGCTATAATTAAACCTATTTCCAAAATTAATCATCCAACAGAGTTAAAAGATCTACGACCAATAAGCATACTACCAATACTGTCAAAGATTTTGGAAAGGGTTGTATGTTTGCAGATGACTGACTACCTACATTCTAATAACATCTTACCAGAAAAACAATCGGGATTTCGAGCTGGACGAAGTACCGCAACAGCACTTTTGCACGTAGTTGATGATGTTTTATCCGAACAGGATGTTGGAAAGGGTACAGTTTTGGTGCTACTTGATTATTCACGTGCATTTGATACAATCAACACGTCCTTACTCATAGCAAAACTTGTTTATTATGGATTTGATCAAGTAGCAATTAAGTGGTTTTCAAGTTACTTGACTGGCCGTACTCAAAAGGTTGAAATCACTCATATAGACGGTTCCAAAAAGTACTCAAGTGTTTCACCAATAAATCGAGGAGTTCCACAAGGATCTATACTCGGGCCAATCCTTTTTATTTTATATACAGCTGACCTACCGAAATATATTTTGAATTGTGACCATCATTTATATGCTGATGACCTACAAATCTATAAGCCTTTGATGCCTAGTGAAGTAGGGACAACTGTTACTCAAATTAACGAAGATCTTAACCGAATAGCTGAGTGGTCGGAAGCTAACAGTCTTGTTCTGAATCCTACAAAGACAAAGTTTATTGTTTTAGGTACCAAAGCACAAGTAAACCAAATAACTGCTCTTAAACCACAGATAAAAGTAAGAAATGACAAAATTGAACAAGTTCAAGAAGTTCGAAATTTAGGTGTACTACTTGACAGTCATTTAAGATTTGAAAGTCATGTTATAAATATAGTCCAACAATGTTATTATAGGCTAAAAGTGCTGTACCAAATACGTCAATTCCTGGATATAGACTTGCGGATTCATCTCTGCGAGTCTCTAATACTATCAAAATTAAATTACGCAGATACAGTCATCGCTGGGTGCTTACTAGAGCGTACAAAAAAACATATTCAGCGAGTTCAAAATTCCTGTGCTCGTTTTTGCTTTCCAATTCCACGCCGGTCTCATATAACACCATACCTTAATCGAAGCGACATGTTGAATATGCGGTCAAGGCGAGCACTACATTTTGCTTCCTTAATTTTCGGGGTAATAAATAAACAAAGTCCATCATATCTCTATGGCAAGTTAAAATTTACACAACGCCAATCACGACTTTGTGACCGTCTTATATGCCCTGTTTTTAGTTCTGCGGCTTTCCGTGGAAGCTTTCGATACTCCGCCACAAAGTGTTGGAATAACATCCCACCACCTATTAGAAACTCTTCGTCTTTACATATCTTTAAAGCAAAATACAAAAAGTTTCTACTTCATTTGCAAAAGACGGAGTAAAACCGATCAGATCGCTGTCTGCATATATTATAATATATTATATATATATAAAGTTGCACCCAGACAACTCAGCTCTCATAGGTATATAGGCACTCGTATTGTGTTGAGGACATGTTATAGTTTTTGTTAATAATTTTTTTTTTTGTTATACTTTATTTTTGATTTTATTGTTCCTAACTTTTATATTCCTTTTTTATTGTTTTTAGTCTATTTCATTGTTATTTTTGTTGGCTGTATGCATGGAGCTGAACGCCAATCTTACAAGGTATCCGCAGAAAACCAGTGCCGTGGTATTGTTTGCCAGGGCAATATACTGAGCGGAGACCTTTTTGGTGCATACATTTTTACAATTATAATGTTATTTTTTTTTTTTTTTTCCTGTAATGTAATGCGCCGAATAAATATTTCTTCTTTCTTTCTTTCTTCTTTCTTTCTTCTATACAAAGACAAAACGGTTCTACCTAATAGAACCTCTACTTTTAAAGTAATTACTACTGTAGATTAGTGACAGTGCCTTGGTCTAGATCAGGAGTCACACACTTGCAGGGTATACCACTTGGGCAGAATCTCGTACTGGATCCATTTACAACTAACCTTGTGCAATTCATAAGTGTTGTTGGTGTCAAGTCTACTAAATTTCATCTCTACTAAACCTAGAAGAAACTAATAAGTTACTAAGTAAGTTAAAAACTCACACTGCAACAAATCACCGATGTGTGTACACGCCTCTATAAAGCAGCACACTCCGCGGGGACGTGTGAATGTACCTCATAAATATATCCGAGGTACATCATCGCTTCCGTGTACCGATGTTTGATAGTCCTCGTCGACCGTAATACTCGACTCACCGTTTAAGTCGAGCCGATGTTCCGGGCCTCGCACCAGAACAGAAGGCATGTCGGTGCGGTTACGACTTTCATAACTAAGGCTTAATCGTTCGTTAAAGAAATCGCTCGGGTTCGTATCCTGCTTGACTTAGGGGCCATTATCGCGTATTCATTCGCCCGTGTACAGCTTAGATTTACAGCGCCAATGCGAGCAAATGAATTAGTCGGAGAGTAATGCTGATCTGTATACGAAATACCGAATGAATTAAATTTTGAAGATTAGTAAGTGGTAAATAGTATGTGTTAAAGAGTTTTATTAATATTTCCAACTAACTTGGGGTCACCTTGTGTCTTCACGGCGAGACTCAATAGGTTTTTAATGAACTAGTTCACATAACACGTATGAAAATAAGTAAATGTCTTATATGTCTTATGTCTATAATCACACGGCCACTTATATATTACGTTTTTCGTTTGGTTTCAGCTTCAGGCATCTCAAGAGGTGGTATGGTCAAGTATTATTTAATTATTCAAACCTACTTGTACCAAAAAACTTGCGTGGAGGTTTGGTCAAGTAAGACAGACCTAATAAGGCTTAAATTATATTTTTAAGTCAAGATGAATAGGAACAGTACGCAACAAAAATTCTGAATGTACCATTTTATTACCGCTCAACCTTTCAATATGTTGTTTCCAAAAACTTATCGAATAAGTTCATATCATCGATGATAGGTTACGCTGTAAACGTTTTTAATGGCCTTTATTTTAGAGGTAACAGAGGAGTATTTTAAAGAATATTACGATGACGGAAACGAATGGCACGGTTATAAATATTGATAAACGCTTAACCTTTAGCACAAATTGATATGGAAGCATACGAATTTATGGCCGATTTACTCGAAAATTATAGTAGCGTGTATTTACTGAAAAAAACTGCGCATCGTTCGGGTTTATGATTTAACGTACTGCATTAAGGGCGATTAAAATTCAGCGACTATTAGCGCAGAAAGCTTTTAAAATCACTTGGGAGCTTAACGAAATGTAAACACGATAAAATATCAATATAACCCTGCTATAAACAGTTGGCTACTTTATTAATACAAAGTTTACCATTTTATCTTTTTTTTTCGAATAATAATGATTTTTTAATAATTTAATATTTGCCGCGATAAATAACTGTATTATGTTGTGTTCTTTAGTTTTAAAACTTTTCGTTATATACATAAATATTAGATAAAGGTAACCATAAACAAAAAAATCTGTATCTAAAAGCTAATTTCATTTATACCCCTGGTGGGACTCAAACCCACAATCCCCGGCATAGGAGGCCGATGCCTTATCCATTAGGCCACAGGGGCGGATGTCAGTAACTTAAAATTTTACGTTATCATTGAGATTTAGTTTACCTTGCAATTTTTACTTACATGGTTATTATTACGCGCTATTGCTAACGCTATTGGTTTCAGCGTCAGAGGTCATGGGTTTGATTCCCACACAACTAAAAACATTATGATGACAGGAATACAATATTGATACGCTTAATTATCGCAAATTTCATTTGTGTGATTGCTGATTTGGAAATTAACATACGAAAATCAATGTATGTCATATGTGGCTATGTCACGACGACAAGCCTCTATGGTATTGAGATTTATAGGTTACTAATTAATAATGGATACCGCTTTCTCAGCTTACCTTGTTTGCATCAAACGATACGGGTTTTTGTAATATTTCTCGAGCTATATCCAATGTAACAGCGCTGTGAATGTAGTTAGGTCCATTTATAAGAGAATTTAGCAAGCGAAGAAGCTGCATCGATGATCATCATCACCCGATGACATCAGTACCACTGGAAGCGTTAAAGATGGTGGGCTTCCAGTACCTTCCATCCGTGGACCTTCCCCAGCCAGCTCGTATTCACGCAACGGCATTCCAGACCCGAAGCTGCCGCCTATTAGCATACGTATACGAACGAGACCGCACGCAACACAATGGCTCAATAACAGCGCTTGAAGCGTTCCACGTTCGTATCCCGCGCAATGTCGAAAGTGACGCGCATCACGTTGGAATTGACGGTAGTTCGGGCACCGACGGTACGGTTACCGCAGCGTAATAACTCGTTCGCTCACAAATCGACACCGCGACTGGTGTAAATAACATTAGTTTTGACGGGGCCAACCGTGAGAATCGATTTCGTTGTCGATTCCGTGGTACGCCATCGCTCGGCTATTGTGAGCTGCGGCGTGCGCGTGGAGGTATTCCTTAGTGAGCCTCAATAGCTTTCCAAAGGTTTGTAATGTGACAGATGATGAGCCAGTTACGGTATTTAGGGGTTATTTATTTGTTTTCACAAATGTGTCAACTATTTGCTCGTAAATAATCACTACTCTCCCTACACTCCACTCAAAACTTGATGTGTAGCGGAGCCACAGACCAGGTCCGCCGCTGAGGGCTGGGAGGCTTGCTGCTGGCTCTCCTTTCTCCCATGGCATCTGGTCAGCGGACTCTCTGGAGTTCGTTGGCCATGAGAAAGGGGCCGAATAGGAAGGCACGCTGTTGGTGAAGAGGGGCGTTGCTCCCCGAGAAGGGGCTCCTGAGGCGGCCAATGGCTCTGACCGCCTCAGCTCAGAGTCGTGGAAGTGTGCGAAAGCGTTCCCGTGGCCCTGCCGATATGCATCTGGGTGGAACATCGTGGGGGTTTTAGTCGATGTGAATCCGACATAGACTGTCCTCGGCATACCCGCCCTCTCCATTTCCCCCATGTTAAAAATAAAAAAGTGTTGTATCTACAATTACCATGGGCGGTGCAATCACTTAACATTAGGTGAATCACCTGCTGGGTTGTTAACTGTCAACATAACACAAAGTGAACACTTACCTACATTTACCTCATGTCGTAAGCCTATAATCAACTTATCAACTTTTCAGTTACTATTTTTTCAATCTAAACTATATATTTTCAGAACATCGTTCCGTACGGACCCAATTATGCAGTGCAATATCCAAATAACTGCTTATAGTATTGAATCACTACTTGCATTACTTTCATTATTTTATTTTGTGGCACACTGGAAAAATATTAGTTATAAATTATACAAAAATGATTATAGTTATAAATGAAACTAATTTTTACGAATTTATCGCGTTTATTTTTAATTTTAATCCCGACGTTTCGAACCCTTTACAGCGTTCATGGTCACGTGACAGACTGAGGCGTTGGACGTCTGATTGTCATAGTTAACGTCATAAGTTAAAGTTGCTAACCAATCATCTTACATATCAATATTATTACAGCGATGAATCACACCCAGGTGGATGATCAATGCGCCTATTTACAATTCAAAACTTATGAAATACAATTAAATATCTGTATTTAGATCTTGCTTTGCTATTAATAATGTAATATTTTTTTTTATTTTTAGCCTTACATATTATGCTTAAATAGAGCCGTAGTGTGTAAATATCAAAAAATTTCATAACTTTTTCAAGAACTAGTACTAAAGAAAGAACATAACTGAAATGTAAATAAAAACTTGCCGAAAGAGAAAGAATACACTAAATGATATGTGTTTCATATATTGCAATAGAAATCTGGACAGGCACGAATTTGCTATTTTGTTTCTCATCTTCAGTTAACAGCTTTCAATTCCATTCCAATGTCGAAGATTTTCATAAGATATTCATTTAAGCAAAACATCTGGTGTACAGGAAGAAAATGTAGAGCTGCGTCAATCTCTACCGCGTGTTCTGCAGTCGAACAATCCGCTCTACCGTTCACATGGTAGCGTCAGACATGTTGACATGTGACGACAAATCTCTGCCTAGACCCAGCGCATCGGATTGGACACGATGCTTATCAATGCGGGCAGATAGCATCTGCGGCGGTCCCACATGCATTAGAATTTCGATGCGCGCTCGTTAGCATTGTTCCTGGATGTGACGCGAGCGTATTAGGTAGACTCAAAAGCAGCTGTTACAGTACAGCATCATTCGTTAGATCAAAGCATTACAACACGCGGCACCGCAGAAATTGACCCACGTTTATTGGTCTTCCTTTAAAATAAACTAATGTATTGAAACGAATGGGCCCTACTACCCGATACATCAGTGTTGATTGTTCGTCGGTATTGACACTACTAGCTACTATATGAAATTGATTTTCGCTTGTTTCTAAATAAATGGCACTCGCTTTACTGTGGACATTGATAATCTAGTAATTACGGTTTCAATGCCAAGATCATCAGATCATTGAAGGTTTTCATTGATCGCTATTTTTTATTTTAAGAACTCAGTTACTAGACTATCTTGCATAATATGGAAGGAATTCTTTATTGATTACTTGTTATGGACTGTTTCGGGCCTAAATGCTAGACAATGAGATGCTTTGTGGTGATATAAAATAAGGAACCTAAAAAGCTAATGAAGGTATAGATTTTTATTCGCTTTAGAAGTACTGATATTAAAATTCAGACGGAAATTTGCAGATATTACGAACACGAATCTAATGACGTGTGTGAACAAATTCACCTTTATCCCCCTTTCAATTTACAAAACTATACGAAAATAATTTTAAACAACAAGTAACTAATACAAGTTTGTGGGTATTTAATTTTTTATCAAATGAGTTTTAAAAATATATCTGTGAACTAAATAAAAACTTCCCCATTACCCCAGATGGGACCCGAACCCATCCCCTAATCAGGAAACTCTAATCCCCTCCATTACGACGATGGCTACTAGAGAAACTATTTTACACAATAAATGAGTTTTTAAATTGTAATACCTAATTAATAATGTTACTATTATTTCATATATTATTTTTTTGTTTAAAATCGATGCATTAATTAATTAATATATCTATTAAAATTGTAGGACGATTTTAGTTACATGTAAAAAAAAAATTAGACAACTGTATTATAAAAATATATCTTCTGGACATTTGCATGCTGTTTAAAACAGCTAAATAGGTTAGGTTGACATTTGTGACAACAACAAGATAACAAGACCAAATTTTTTTTCTGTACTACCTATTTATCAGCAAATAAAGAAACTTAACTTAGGCGACCGATGCCTTATCCATTAGGCCACATGGACTCTGAGATGCCATGTCATACATTGCTCGTTCAAGTTAATAAATCATTTTAGCATACATAATTGTTTGATTGCATTTTGCGAAACTTATATGTCCGAAAAACACAAGTTTATTGAAGAACTTAGTTTTTCAAGATTTTGCAATCTAAGTGTAATCTAAGTAGGTATATGAATGATTTTTCAAAATGTCAGACTTAATAAAAATGCACGATTGGTTTTTCAAAATGCAAATCTAAGTATAAGTAAGATTTTGCGAAATGTCAAAAATATAAATGCAAGACTGGTGGGGTATTTATAACTCTAGCCGAAAGATTTAACAGTTTTCGCTCGTCGGCAAATTTCAATTTAACGTTTTTATATGGATAGTGCATCTAGATAAGCGACCTTATAAATTTTTCACGCGCTCCAACTTGAGGTCGCGGTTTGACGTAAGAATAAGGTGAATTTCGTCCAAAGGTCAGTTGGACGCAATCGACGAGGGACGACAGGCAATAATTAGTAACAGGCTAATAAATAACGTTATACAAAAATGACATAAACAGCCCCGACGCATCAAGCTGACCTATAAATAAAACGCCCGGCTTGATGAATCGCCTCCGATATAAATTATGAAAATGAAGTCTTCGAGACCGTAAAACCTTATATCGTCCGACGAAGTATCAACGAATTGAAATAAGTAATTCGATAGTATATTTTTAACGTTAAATATTGAATTATATAAGCATCATTATATAAGCATTATCTTCGGTGGTAGAGCCACGTAACAGTGTTTGACGTTGCACGAATGGGCAGGTCCGTCCGGGTTAGTACCTACACTACTGCGTTTCGTCTGATGAGTGAGGTAGCCGGGGCCCACTTCATTAAGAAGTGGCAACGCATCTGCAACCCTACGGGTGTTGCAAATGTCCATGGGCAGGCGGCTATCACTTAACATCAGGTGAACCGCCAGCTCGTTTGCCACTTTCTCAAATAAAAAAAAAACCTAAGAAAATTTCCTTCGAAATGTTCGCAATTCAAACGTATGCTACGTTCATACGAAACAATTTCTGTTAACCGTAATCATTGACACTAATGTTTATTCCGTCAATATCTGTCAATTTATTAATTAAACATTAATCAACATTTCACGGCGACTTGTTGAATACCTCATTCAGTTTATAATAAGCGACTTCTGCAAGCCGTTCGAGTACCCTCATCAGATAGATACAGTAATCACTACATAGTATAAAACAAAGTCGTCCCGCTGTCTATCTGTCCCTATATATGCTTAAATCTATAAAACTACGCAACGGATCTTAATGCGGTTTTCTTTAATATATAGAGTGATTCCAGAGGACGGTTCATATGTATAATTCATGAATAATATAGTAAAGAAACACTGATAACTTTAGAGGTTTCTAATGCGATGTCGAAAACAAACACGCAGCATTGCACCCGCGCGAAGCCGGGGCGGGTCGCTAGTACTCGATAAACGTTGGCTCATCAATTTTAATGAACACCCGATCTGGATACGTTGGAACTTCATTACTCCCCAAATGGCCCCACCCGTTGATAAATCGGTCAACTTTTTTAAGAACGCCAACCGGCGAAATCGTTTCACCCAAGGGAGCTCGCGTTGATTTAGCAAGTTCGTTAAATTTTACAATGTTATGTTACACAAAATGTTACGGTGTTAATATGAAATAATAAATAAATATTAGGATACATTTTTACACAACTTTCTCTAGTCCCAAACTTAGCAACGCTTGTCCTATGGGTACTAGATAACTGATAAACATACTTAAACATACTTTACTTTTGTAAATAAATACACTATAAATATACTACGGTGGTAGGGGCACGCAGCAGCCTCGGCTGTTGCACGAATGGGCAGGCCCGTCCGGGTAAGTACCACGACCTCACAGAAGACCGGCGTAAAGTGGAAGTATGACAAATACTTTCGCGTTTCGTCTGGTGAGTGAGGTAGCCGGAGCCCAATTTTCAAAAGGTTGTCAACGCATCTGTAACCCTCGAGTGTAG